CTTCTCCCCCCCCCCCCCCCGCTTTAGAATGGCTTCTATTTAATGTTTAAATAGTCTGAATAAACTGGACAGTGTATGCAAAATACAGGTCAAAGCAGTGTCCTTGCATTTAGGGCTATGGGTTAAACAAAACGAGAGGCACAAAATATTGAGAAGTAAACTGTACCTACTTACTCAGAAGTAAGTTCAGTGGGGCTTATTTCCAGGTTTAAATGTATTTGGTGTACAGTCCACTATTAAATGAATATTTCACTTCTTTCCCCCCTCCCAGAAAAAAACTTAGTGACCCCAAAGGCACATTCTGCTTTATTCATTTAAAAAAAAACTTTTAGTAGCAGTAATGGCAGCAAAATATATTTCTTGTCCTTCGTCCAAGAGGTAGGATAGAGAGAGAGTGGCAGTCACTGACACCCATCTTTCTGGGGACTTTGTGGCCGAATGGGGATTTATGTCCTTTCTGCTTTATTTGGGTTATAATAAAGTAAAATAATGTATAGTGGTTTACTACTAGAGAGGGAGAAAGTGCTTCTGGCCATTATATGGTGGAGTATGAAAAGGCAAAGATCTCATCATTACATACTTTTTGCAGTGGGTTTCATATAATTGTTACACTCATTGATGGAAGCAAGCAATGAGCTTAACATTTTATTTAGTCTTTCTAGGCATCAGGAGTAAACAATTGGTCGTGGTATTCTCTCATTTAGATGCGAGAGGACACTTTAATACTATTCAATTGTAGGTTGTTGTTTTTTAAAATAGGTTTCTAGCTTGAAATGAAATGGGGTGCCTCAACACTCAAATTAGTGTTCTTGGATGTAGCTGTCATATAGTTAGTTGCAAGAGCAGATGGTACGTGAACGATCTAGTCTCAGTTGGGTAACTACCAGTGAAAAGGAAATGACTAATTGAACTTCAAAGAACAAAATGTCCTGCTTCTAGCAGTCAAAATACGTGACAGAATTCAGACTTGTGCCTTGAATTTTTTATCTGAAGATCTGTTTTTGTCTGCTTTAGCAGCACATAACCTTTCTGTTGGCGTGGGTGGCTCGCTCTGATTTCATTAATATAGGAAGCAGTGAGAAAAGAAATGTTACTGCTAACAGGTGGGGGGCTATGGGATGCTGGATATTCTTGCAGAATAAGGAACGTGGTGTTAAATTATTGTAACTTAACCATAATAGGGCTTATTATGTGGCATGTATTCTTTCATTCTGCCCACAAAGGCAGATGGAGTAGTTAACTAGGCATAATACAATCAAGCGTATGGTAATTAGATGTTACTGTAAAAAGACTTCACAGTCTCTCTTTTTTTTTAAATAAGATGTCACTTTCATCTTTCGGGATACCACTTGCCCTTTCTCAATCACTAATACATTTTCTAAAATGTTACTGCAGTCCTCAATATTTCTGTCTCATTTTTGAAGATGGTTCAAGCCTTCATTTTTAAGAATGTATGGGGTCTTTTTTACCATCTAATGAATTTATTTTATTACAGTTATGGGTGGGTTGTTGTTTTTTTGGTTTTTTTGGTTAGTATTTTGCTCCTATATTTTCTTTGGTTCTTAAATTTCTTTTGAAGTCCCATTTGTTGTTACCAGCATTGAGCCTTTCTTACAGAAAGGGCAAGTCTGAAATTTTGCAATAAGTTATTGTCTTGTGCCCATAATTCTGGTATAGCTCACACAATTTACGGTATTTTTTGCACCATAAGACGCACTTTTTTCCCCTCCAAAAGGGGGGTAGAAAGACTGTGTGTCTTATGGTGCGAAGGTGGTGACTTCGCCCCCACTGGCCCCGTGGGGGGGAGCGTCGCAAGGGTCCGAGGGAGCCTTCCAGGACCCTTGCGATGCTCCCCCACCCCCCCACGGGGCCAGCGCAGGCGAAATCGCCAGCTTCCAGGTGGGGGGAACGTTGCAAGGGTCCTGGAAGCTCAGTCAGATCCTTGCGACGCTCCTCCCACCGGCAAAATCGCCTGCCCCCCCCCACCAGGCTAGAGGGGGCGAAATTGCCACCTTCTGGGGCTCTTCTGAAGCTTTCCAAACCTCAAAAGAGCCCCAGAAGGTGGTGATTTTGCCCCCTCTGGCCTTCGGGAGGTCTGGGTGAGCCTCCAAAGGGTCCTAAGGTTGTGTTCCATAAGACAGACCTCTCCATAAGGCTCACCAGTTTTTAGGAGAAGAAAACAGATTTTTTTCCTGTTTTCTTCTCCTAAAAATTTGGTGCGTCTTATGGAGAGGTGCGTCTTATGGAGCGAAAAATACGGTATGTAAGCTTATTCTGGTTTGGTACAATGATGTGTACAATGGTACGTTAGGATAATCAAGCATGTCCTCTTATTCAGCAGTGCCATGGGCTAGAGCTCTTAACCTAAACAGACTTCTCATTACTGAATTTCTGCATGTTGAGAATCTCATAATCTTTATTACTTCCATCTTCTCTCCTGCATCCAACTTGCAACAAAAGTTCTAATAGTGGTCACAGTATGAATTTAATTACAGTACAAAAACAATATCAATTCCACTTCTAGACCATTTGATCTCTTCATCAAAGAAGATTGTTAAAAGAGTGTAGCTTGGATCCGGAGAGCCCTTCATGTGAATAGGAAGTACTTATTTCCATGTCCACAAATAGAAGATTCAGATGTTCTCATTTTCTCTCATAAGGATTAGATACACAAAAATTGTCATTTAAAAATTATCTTGTGTAACAAGAAGTAGACAGATCCAGTTGTATTACCTGTCAGACTGGGATTTGATAAACAGGTAAGATAACATCAACAGACTGATAGAGATATGCCATCTCCAACATCTGCTCAATATGATCAGCGGCCTTTTATGTGGAGCACAGAGTGAATCAAAGAATGGTACTGAAGGACCCATAAAGGCATTTTTAAAAAAGCCTATCCATGACAAAACTCTGGACTTTCCTGAATAGAATGAGCCCACAATGAAGCTGACCTTGTGTCTCAGCATCTTCGCTTAAATTGGTAGACCCCAAGATATCATGAAGAAATCCAGTCTTTGGCAGTTAAGTAGTGATCGCCATAGGCAGAATGTATTTGTTTCTGGATTTTATTTAAACCTCCCAAAGCACTTTGGATTTATTTGTCCATAGATAATCTAGAGTGGTTTGTGGGGACTCCACTGACATTACAGCACTGGAAGAAATATTTCTCTACCATATCTGACTTCAAAGGATAAAGTTACACTGCATAAAACTATACCATGGCGAGAATATAATAAATAAAAATAAGAATCTGTTACTACTTGAACAACAGACTTGTCGTTTAAATGATGATGATTACCAGGCCAGTACAGATCACAGAGACCGACAATCGGTTCCTGATGCTAGTCTTCTCTTCCGTATTTTAAATGAACTATTGACAGGCTTCAAACCTCTTTTTAATTTCTGCAGTTTAGTTGATTTTTGGGTGCCCTCTGTAACGCTTATGAAACAAATCATATATGGAACAAATTGTTAACATGTTTTCTAGCTAACACTTTTCTGTTTTTGAAAAGTGCAGACCTCAATGAAATACCTCAAATACTTCTAGGTGGTGGAATATGTATTGTTTCAGAAATATGACTGTGGTGAGCCCTAACAAGTGAAAGGACGGGAGACATATTACATTTTACCCAGTACTTCTCAAGGGACCTTAGGGCGTAATATGTACAGTGGTGCCTCGCTTTACGATTGCCCCGCATTACGACAAATCCGCTTTACGACAATCTTTTTGCGATCGCAGTTGCGATCACAAAACGATGGTCTAAACGGGGGGATTTTGCTTTGTGATGATCGGTTCCCTGCTTCGGGAACCGATTCTTTGCAAAATGATGGTTTTCTAACAGCTGATCGGTGGTTTCAAAATGGCCACCGGGTAATTAAAATGGCTCCCCGCTGTGTTTAGGGACAGATTCCTTGCTATACAGGCATTGAAAATGGCCGCCGTATGGAGGATCTTTGCTGGACGGTGAGTTTTTACCCCATTGGAACGCATTGAACGGGTTCCAATGCATTTCAATTGGGTTTTTTGTTTCGCTTTACGATGTTTTCGTTAACGATGATTTTCCTGGAACGGATTATTGTCGTTAAGCGAGGCACCACTGTATTTCTTCTTTCATTTGCAGCCTCATAATAATCTGGTGGCTCACATTCAGCTGAAAGGCACTGGACCAAGGTTGCTCCATTGACTTAATGCCTCAGTGGAGGTTTATACCTGGATCTCTTGGAATCCGACTGAGCTTTTTAACCCAGGCAACAGGCTAGTTTTCCAAATACACCTCCTGTGGTTAGGATCTAGGCTTATTAAGGGAATTCCCATTGAGCATCAAGTCCCATATCCTAATCAGTCAGCAGTCATAGTTCTATCTACAATTAAAAATATGCCAGAGAAAATGGAATTGTGCTTAAAAACACAGCTAAGGCCATATACTGTATACGGTGGACCCTCGACTTACAGACAGCTCCACTTACAGGCTTTCCAGTTACAGACTTCTCTGGCCACAAAATTTAGGTTTGACTTGCAGCCAGAGAATCGACCTAGAGACCGGAAAAACACCCCAAATGGAACAAAAACAGCTGGGTACGGATTAATCGGTTTTCAATGCATTGTATGTCAATGGAGTCTCAGCCTACAGACTTTTCGACCTGCAGCCACCGTTCCAATACGGATTAATTCCGTAAGTTGAGGGTCCACTATAATGGGATATTTTGCTCCTTTCCTACCTCCTTTTGAACAAGAAGCCTCCATGTCATATAACAAAAGACTCATTTCAGTTTCAGAAGAGGCTTGCCATGGAGTGTAATTGGGCATTAGTAGTGGTTGCTATTAAGTCCCCTTTGAACACATGGAATTACTTGCCTATATTTCTGGACTCTGGACAATGTTAACATTTAGTGTTGAAGGTAAATTGGATCTCACGAGGAATAATTTTTACTGTGGAATGCGAGCTTTATTTATTGCAATTTTACTTTGTTTCCTAACTTGTATGTTTTCTCCCCAGGTGCATGATTGCAGATGAGGTACGTAGCTTCCCGTCTCCTACTTTTGTTCTGCTATAACTACTTCCATAATTAATTTGGTTTAAGGTGCACAATTACTTGCATCTCCTTGAATAAAGTAGTCCATAAAAATACAGCTTCATGAACCAATACATAGAACAGACATATTCCTAAAATTGGTGGCACTGAAAAATCAAACTCTTAAGTTAACTTTGGAAATGCAGAAGAAAGAACTTACAGTAATCTTAAGTAACATTGTTATAGATTTGAAGTGTTTTCCTTATGAATCCACTTGAAAAACCTAAAAAAAATTGCACAGCTGGATCCAGAGGAATATACATAGTAGAACTTTGTATGGTAGGATTGCAACTCTGTGAGCTCTCTCACCTGTGGTGATGCCAGCAAAGGCTAAATGGAGTTGCAGTCAAAGAATGCCTCAAAAGCTATGTGTTCCTTACTGTGTTTTAGACTCTGCTTCTTAAATAGTACCAGGACAATCCCTCAGACCTTGGGTGTGTTAGAACTTAATAATGATGACCAATCAAATGGAGTGCACAATAGTTTTGTTTCCTGGTTGAATTACACAGTATTCAAGGTAACGGTCCCTCTAAATGAGGTATTCAATTGAATGGAATACTGTAATGTTATTAGTACGTATATTCACTAGCAGTCAGTTAGCACCTTCAGAATTATGTAGAAGTTTATTTCAAGAGAAATAGTAATCTAAGTGTGAAGCAGAGATATGTGAAAGGACTATGCTGTCTGCAAGTACCCAACTCATTGGTGGTGGTGACCATATGTAGCCTGTATAATTTAAAAATTGTAAACCTCCCAGAGAGTGCTTTAAGAGTTCTTTGGGGTGGTATATACAGTAAGCAGCAAACTTTGCTTTAAAATACATTTAGGCAGCAGTCCCCAACCTTTTTGGAACTGTGGACCGGTTGGGGTGGGTGGCCTCTTGGAGCGGGGGTGCAACATGCCCCAGCAAGCACGACATGCCCACCCGCAAGTGCGACACAACTGCCGTGCATGTGGGGGGGGGCAGAGCTCCGTCTCCACAGCCCAGTCCTGGGAAGCCCACAGACCGGCACTGGGCTGCGGACTGGGGTTGGGGACCCCTGCATTTAGGCACATTTTAGAAAACCCAGCAGGTTATAGTATATCTTTAGATTATTTTTACAAACTGTCTTGCAAGCCCCCATTGAACAGAATGCATCAGTCCTTCAAGTAACTATCATCTTATATGGCGGATGGAGATGAGCAGCTATGACTCCATAGACTTTCATTCCACACTGTTATAACTAGAATGTGCTGTGAAGTTAGCAGGATCTTCTATGGGTTGGTTAGTCAGGTTTAGACATGGGAATGAATATAATATATCTAGTTAGGATTTCAAGTCAACAGCTGATATGAGCACTAGAATCCCCCCCTTTCACATTATGAATTCCAAACTCGTATTTTTCTCCTTTCAATTTATTGCATTTTAGATGGGCTTGGGGAAGACGATCCAAGCAATAGCTGTGACTTACTACTACAGAAATGAATGGCCTTTGTTAATAGTGGTGCCCTCCTCTCTGAGATACCCTTGGGTTGACGAGATAGAGAAATGGATTCCAGACCTCTGTCCCGAAGATATAGTCATCATTCAGAATAAGACTGACACTTGGTGAGTGGCACTGACAACCAAAGCTATGAAACTGAGCACAGCATGATTTCATCACCTTTTTGAGAAACATGGTGTCTCACAGTGTAAAGGGAAGGAAAATTTTAATTAAAATCTTCTAATACAGTAATGCAGTGATCCCCAACCTTGGGCCTCCAGATGTTCTTGAACTACAACACCAGGAAGCCTTCACCATCACCTCTGCTGGCCAGGATTTCTGGGAGATGAAGTCCAAGAACATCTGGAGGCCCAAGGTTGGGGACCACTGCAGTAACGCACCTAGAATAAGGGTGTTCAGTCATTTGTAGGCTATCTGAAGGATCATGTCACTCCCCATGAGCCTTGTCAGCTTTGTGGAAGGTTTCTGTATATTGTCCATATGTGACCTAGTGAGTCAAACCTGTGAGGGGCTTAGCCTTACACCCCCACCTATTCTCTGTCTTGAAAAAGAGCAGCTGTTGATGGCACATTTAAAGGCTGAATTAAGCCAATCTGTGACTAACATATTGCTATATTAAAAATTGCTATAGTTTTTGAGGGTCCAACTCAACTCACTTGAAGCAATATATTTTGAGGATCTTGGCGTGGTTAGTTGTCTATTAAAGTTGGTTCTGTTGTTCTTGCATCCTTCAAGCACTGTGTATCAGCACCTGTCCAGCCCAAAATACCAGAAGGGAATCTGGGAGTAGAGCAGCCGGGGAGGGCCTGTCTATCCTTTGATCTTCTGACCGCTCCTTCCTGCTTCATATTAGGCTGATACTCGCGGCTGTCTGTCTAGCAGTCTCACTTTCTTTCCTGTTTCTCTAAGGGGCAGACATTGCTCTTCTCTTGTGTGTCTTCTAGGGCATGTGTCTGTCTAGTTAGCATAAGGGTTTAGATTTTTATATCTGGAATATAACTTCCTTAGTAAATGTTAGTCATTTCTTTTAGCTGCTTTTCTTATTTTTATTAAAGGTTTGTTGTGGGACTGACTGCTCACATGTCTACACAGCACTTTCCGTGCTACAAAGAGAAAAACCCAAATATTTTTCTTACTTTTTGAATATTCACAACAGTTTCCTGAATGTCTCATATACTTTTTCTAGGAGAATATCTTCAAGCAAAGTAGTCGTGTTGGGTTATGGACTGCTAACTTCAGATGCACAGACTTTAATAAATACTCTACACAAACAGAGGTTCAAAGTAGTAATAGTGGATGAATCCCACTACATGAAATCCAGAAATGCAATTCGTAGCAAGATTTTATTGCCTATTGTACAGAATGCTGTCCGGGCCATTCTTTTGACTGGAACTCCTGCTTTAGGAAGACCTGAAGAGGTTCTGGAAATCATTTCTGTCTTTCCAAATCACAGTTGACATGTTACAGCCAAAGCATAGTAGTTTGCCTTTGGATATACATGTTTTTTTGCTCCCCTCCTGTGCTCAAATAATCATAAGCTGGTATGATGCCTGATTTCCAACCGTTATGGTTCGTGGCAACCACCATTAGTCTTCTGTCTTAACAAATTTTATTTACTGCATGCCGTGAAGCCGAAGAACTGAATCAGAATAACATGAAAGTGGAGTAAAGAACACTTGCGTAATATTTGTATCAGACAGAGGAATCGTGCTGAAATAGAGGAGCCCCATATCCTCCAAGGAAAGTGATTAGAGGGACAGTGGCACATTATTGTGACAGAATAGATAGCCTCCAACTGTAGTTTGTTGGTTTGTTTTTAAAAAAACTCACACAAAGTTTGTTTGTGAAGCACCTATAGTTTATAAGCAGAGCACTGCCATCTGCACTCCTAGAAGGTGAATTATTGTTGTTACTGACATGCATCGGATTTTAGGTGGTGATTACATTTCTGGGCTTGTTACTAACATGCAATTGTGATTATTTTGTTTGCAGCTTTTCATGCAGCTTGAAGCACTTTGCCCGAGAAAATTTGGGACATGGATTGAATATGCAAAAAAATACTGTGATGCACGTATCAGGTACTTTGATTTCAGAACTTTTATGATATGCCTCCGGTATATTGAGTGCTGTAATTTTGAAAATAACAGCCAGTTCCAACTGTGCACTGTAACAAGGAAAGAGGAGTAATGTTTTTTATTTTAAAAGGACTAGACACTACTCTTGCTATTCCATGCGTAGAAGTTTTGCTCTTGGAAACGTATTTCTGTTGTTTCAAGGAAAATAGCAGTAATCTTTTTACCTAGCTCAGTTGCATCAGTTTTTTTTAGGTTGGATTGCAAAACATCTCATGCAAGGAGACCATATGTTGTTTCAGGTTCATCAAGTCTACTCCATATTTCCTCATACTGACTCTCATATTAGAGGCTACTGCTGGAAGCTTGAGGAACATTCTGTCAATGACAGGACTGAGCATCTTTAAAGATGTATATACTGCAACATGTGTGCTATAAAGCATCCTTTCAAAAAAGTGCATTTGGTCTAACAGAGTGGTTCCCAATCTTGGGCAATCCAGGTGTTCTTAGACTGCAACTCCAAAAAATCCCAGCCGGCACAGTTCCTGATGAAGGCTTCTGGGAGTTGCAGTCCAAAAGCATCTGGGTTAACTAAGGTTCGGAACCACAGGTCTAATGCATCCTGAAGCTAGAATCCTGTTTGTGCAACGCTGCACACATAGCACTGGTGATGGCATCAGTTGTGGCATTTTATCTTTAACAAAAGTTTCCTATTTCTTTAAACAGCACAGATTTTAGACATTAAAGACTCTCTGTCCCAAGCCCCCCCCCCCAGTCTTCCCCAGGTTGAAAAAGATTCTTGGAAAGCCTTGGAACCTAAGTGCAGGGTAGATTATGAACCTTTTGATTAAAAATAAAAGGCTGTCGCTAACAGCATCATTGGCCTTACATGTGCAGAGCTGCACCAACAGTATTCCAGCCGCTGCTTCTTTCAAGTTCACCAGACACAGAATGAAATGTCTCTGCTAGCACACTCACTTCCTGTCTTCCTGAATCACTCTTAGCTTTGTTACTGAAAGCAAAATAGGACAGTCAAGGTAAGTGCGTTGTTTGTTTTCCAGTTCAAGCTATAATTCTGACCCCTAATATTTGACTTAGTATGAGTCATACTTTGTGTTGGAACAGAGTGGACTTAATTTAAATCAAAATTGATTTAAATCACAATTTAAATTTTTAGACGTCTTATTTTTTAACAATTTAAATTTAAAAACTTATTTTAAAAAGTTAAATTTAAAAATCATTGCTGTTTGTCCACCCTGTGCTGTACAATGCAGCCCGAGTGCACACTAGCCTACAGAGGCATTATGTTTGCCTGTCTTTGCACGAGTGTGGAATATTGTTGTGCAACATCACCAATGTTGATTTGAAATTGCTGACCTATTTCCATCTATTTTGGACCACTCCAGATTTTTTGGTAAAAGACGACAGTGGGACTGCAGAGGAGCCTCCAATTTAGATGAGCTGCACCATTTACTGAGTAATGTAATGATAAGGCGACTGAAAAATGAAGTTTTAACACAGCTACCGCCTAAAATCAGACAGCGAATTCCCTTTGATCTTCCCAAAACGGCTTCTGCGGTAAATTAATGTGCTGTTAACTGCCTTTCTGCTTTGTGCAAATAACCACTCTCTTTAACTGAAACAATAATGGCTATAATTCATTTTCATAAGTATAAAGTCTTCAGGAATTGTTCAGGCAAACAATTGGCATATTCAAAAACATTTTGCTGTGTGGGTTCTGTACAGCCTCCATCGTGAGGCTGTGTGTGTCTAAAAAATGAATTTCTGTACAGCCTGAAAATGCATGTCATGCTGATATAGCAGACGTCAGTGCAGCGAGGAGCAAAGCAGTAAGAAATCTAGAAGTATATTTAGATCAGAGATCAGAATGACAACTGTCCACGTTGCCCAGAAGATTCTACCGGCTGGGATCCAAAATAGTAACTTTTGCAAACTCTGATATTACTTTAGGATCTGGAGGGTGCCTTCTAGAGGTAATGTTTTTTTTTCTAGATAAATATTAGCACTTCATAGTTTGAGGTGGCAGCATTTACTAATCTCCCCTATGACCAGTGGGTTTTATCCAGACTTATACTCACCAGAATTTTGCTTGTGGTGACAAAGTAGTGTTCTGCCTTGTCCCTCGTCTAACGCCCCCCCCCCCCGGGTGCCTCCTCTGGATCCTTCGGATCTTTTCGAACTATATAAGGAGTGGTGCAAGTGCTGCAAGCAGGAAGGGGAATGGCAGAAAACTGCCAGCCTAGCCATTTCCCACCTGCTGGGTTTTTCTGCCAGTACTCAAGGAAGAGAGTGTGTGGATCCATCTCATTAAACATGTTTTTGCTCATTGTGGCATCCAGCCGTCCGCAGAAGTCAGATACGAGAGACTTCTTTTGTGCCGACTGCCATAATTTTGGCAGAGTGCTTTTCCACTCTCAGACTTCTGAATACTTAAAACGGCAGAGAAAGATTTATATCCAATTAAATTCCAGAATAGATGCTCTCTGTGAAAGAGGTGGTAACAGTGGCCACATAATTAATACGGGACGCTCAGCGGAGTTTTTAAAATGTCATTTTATGGACTGAGACTTGCACTGAGTACTTTTCAGAGATTGTTTCTTCTGCGTCAGATAAAACCATGGATGTCTTGCTGGTTGTGAGCCGAACCCCTTAATGTTTCTAAAACGGCACTCAGATTTCCAATTAATAGGCAGAATAGTGTACCACTTGACTATTATACATGCAGAAATAATCAGGCAAGACACTGAAAAGTAGAGCACTGTCCAAATTGCATTGCAATTTTGATTTCTTCAGCAGTTTTCTGTTCTCTGATACTTAAAGGATTGCGCTTTGGGACATTGTCTTATGACCAGTGAGTTATAATGCTTACACATTGTTATTTCTGTCCCTGGCTTTCCGTGGGTTTCTATATTTGGTAGGAACATGTGACTGACCTATCTCTGCACTGTCATAGCTTTGGGAAGAAGCTCCCAACTTCAGGGACCATTGTTCTCTCTTTTCTTTTCAGTAACAAAAGTAGGGCATGATTCAGAGGAACAGTAATTGTTTTGCCCTTTCACTTTTTTGCCTCTAAATATTGTTGTTTCCTCCCTTGTAGGACTTAAATGCTAGCTTTGAAGAATGGGAGAAATTGAGGAGGGCTTCAGAGTCTACAGAAAGTGACTTCCTCCAGGTGATGGGCCTAATTACCCGCATGTTTAAACAAACTGCCCTCGCCAAGGTACTTCTGAAATATCTTGTGATTCTGAACAATGGTTCTAGCTATGTTTTTGATAGATCGACAGTTCAGTGGTGGTTGAGCATGTCTTTCCATTTTTTTTCTCATATATTGTTGCTGCCTCGTATCATGTTCTCTTCTGTTTTACACATGGTGCAGACTTTCAAGAAAGTTTGAGTCACTGTGAGCACACGAAAGTGGTCTGAAATATGGTATTTTTAGTCAGGTTATTATGAAGTGTTTTGATTCAGCAAATAGGGATGGGGTTTTCAAAATTCAAGGGCTGCCTGTCCCAGAAGTGGTCTAGAAACCCCCAGCAGACTTCTGGAACTAGGAGAGGATAAATCAGAAGGCAAAAGAGATGTTTTTCTACTACTGTACCATTGTTTTCTTCAAGGACATTCTTTCTACCCACTAGACTGTACGGAGGACAGCCTCTCACTGGATTGTCCTCCCCGTGGAGCATCAGGCAATTCTCAGGAAATGTTTAAAATTTTTTGTGTCGGTGGGAAACAAAAGAAAAGGTGACAGAGGATCAGAATCACAACTGAAAGCTTTCAGCAATTTGCGCGAGGGGACAGAGATTGCTGTTTTAATAATCATTCCAAAGAAGCAACAGAGAAAACAAAAGATAAAGAAGAGATTTCTTCCCTAAGATCTGCAGAATTAAAGGGGAATTTAAACCAAATTAATTCCAAAGGTCTGCGATCCTTGGAAATAGTGTGCGATCTGTGCAATGGGGGGTTGTTAGAAACTACACTCACCTTTGTGCAAATAGAAATCCTTGCCTCCGAAACAATCTCCCTCCGGAGATTTGCGTGGCCCCCTCACTGGGTATTTTTAAAAACCAACTAAAAACCTGGATGTTCAGGCAGGCCTTCCCCTCCAGTTAATATCTGTTTCTCTCCTTTTTTTCCTTTGTAGTTTATTTTTCATTTTTCTTCCCCATCTTGAAGCTTTTACTATTTTATGTAATAACACTTTATTATTACTATTATTACTATTATTACTATTATTACTATCATCATCATCACCATCATCATCATCATCATCATCATCATCA